TTCTTGGGGCCAAAGGAGAGGAAGGGCGCCTGGTGCTGTGCAGCCTTGATTGCCTGCAGAGAAACAAACGCACGCAACCATGCAAGGTGGTGCGTACTGTGTCAGAGTGGGCAGGAGGAAGGGATGCGCGTGTACGCAGCAAGACGACCGACCTCACACACACACACACACGCGCGCACACACACACACACACTCACGCACACACACACACACACGTACAGTACGTTGAGTCGTTTTCAACCCACCCCACCCCCTCTCCCTCTCGTGCGCTGTTGCCCACCCCTGTTACAGCCAACAGCGGCAGTGCGCACCTCCTCCTGGCACTGGTCGGCGGGGTCCGGGCTGGAGCAGTCGTACTTGGCGTCGGGACCAAGGTCAAACAGCGACTCGGGGAAGCTTGACACGGCCTGCATTGGCACGGCAAAGCACGACATATAGTGGGTTATCACGGTGGTGGTGGTGGTGGTAATGATGATGATGGTGGTGGTGGTGGTGGTAATGATGATGATGATGATGATGATGATGATGATGATGATGATGATGATGATGATGATGATGATGATGATGATGATGATGATGATGATGATGATGATGGTGGTGGTGGTGATGGTGGTGGTGGGGGTGTGTGAACATGAAAGTGCGTGAGCAGACAGGTGTGGTTTGTGTACGCGTGGAGGCATGCACGTGTGCATGCACATGTGCACAGGTGCGCAATATCCATCATGTGTACACACGCATACGTGCAAGCACGCACCTTAAAGTCGGAGAAGTCGATGGTGCTGTTGCCAATGTCCTTGCCAAAGGGATGGATGAAGCGCACCATGCGGACAGGGGTGGGCTGGGCAGAGTTGGCGGCGGTGTACAGCATGAGCGAGTTCATGGGGATGGGGCCCAGGTTCTCCGTCCAGTAGAACTTGTTCGTCTGCACGCCATCGACGACCTCGGAACCAAAGAACTTTGCCTTGTTCTTGTAGTCGTAAGAGCACAGGCTATCGGCGGCGTCGCACACAAACGGCACGGTTGGTGGGCACCAGAACTGGCAGTGACGCTCGCCACCGTACGTCTGTCGTGGAGAGAGGATGGGGAGGGGAGAGTGACGGTCATGCGTGAGAGGGGCGGGGTTACGTGCAGCAGAGTGGATGTGTGTGTGTGTGTGTGTGTGTGTGTGTGTGTGTGTGTGTGCTTTTGTGTCAGGCAAGTGCTTGGGAACGTTGTTGTTGGTGGTGGGCTGGGTAGTTGGACTTACGCGGATGTAGTAGACCTTGCCTTCGCCGTGGTTCTCGTTCCAGTTGGTGATGATGGTCTGTACATTGCGGAGAGGTGAATGTGTTCGACAGATGGGGGGGGGTTGAGTGTGAGTTGTGGGATGATGTGGAAGTGGACGGGGAAAAAAAAGCGAGCATGCGTGTGTGTGTGTGTGTGTGTACGTGTGTGTGTGTGTGTGTGTGTGTGTGTGTGTGTGTGTGTGTGTGTGTGTGTGTGTGTGTGTACGTGTGTGCGTGTACGGTTGTGCATGTGTGTGCATGCTTGGGGTAATGGCAAGCGTTCCGTGACCCTTGTATGGAATACCACTTACGTCGTACATGCTGTGGGTGGCGTTGGTGATGGCCGTGCGGTTGTTGGGGCCGTCAAAGTGGGAGACCGATGTGCCAACCTGTGTTGTGTGGTGTACGTTCATTGTTGTTTGGTGTGCGAATGTGAGGGTGTGGCGGGTACACATGATGTTCACTTGCTATGGAAGTCACATACACACTCACAAGCAAACACACTCACAAACAAGCAAACACACGCACGCAAACAAACAAACGAAGGCAACCACGATCGGGATATCGCATTGTTCCACACACGCACACAGGCATGCGCGCGCACCTGCTTCTGGGCACCAGCATGCAAAACAATGTTCTCCGTAGCCTGCCAGCGAATGGGGTATGTGGGAGGCGAGGGGCTGAGCGGAGCGGCCGAGGCCACGGCGGCCACGGCAACTACAAGAACGGCAGCGACCTTCATCATCGTGCTTGCTGTGTGCTTCTTTCTTTGTTGCGTGTGTTGGCGATATCGTGGTGTGGAAAATTTGTTAAAGATGCTCGCGGATTCTTTACCAGCACAAAGCCAGATGAAATGACGATGGAAGAAAAAAAAAATGAAATGTTTGTTTGAGGAATGTTTGGTTTGGGCTGTGTTCAGGAGTTCAGGTGTTGTTCTCTTCTATTGTTCCATTCTCATTCTTCTGGTTCATCATCACATACACATACATCATGCGGCCACAAGATCACACGGCTCCATGTTCGCCCACTGGCTCTCACACTACGTCTCTCTTGCTCTCATTGTATCTTGATCTTGAGATCTTGCAGTCTTGGACGTAAAGTGGTATCCGACCCCCCTACGTCGTGGAAGCATCGAGCGTCGGAGTCACAACGCCTTGCTTCCCCGTTTGTCTTGCTCTTTCCCTTTTAACTTCCTGACTTTCACCATGTCACTTATTGTTTGCTGATTTCACAGTCAGCATGTCAGCAAATGATGATTTATTCATTGTGTGGTGTGGATGGAAACGAATAACAGTCCAGAGGAGAAAAAGAAGGGAGCAACATCAGCCAGCCTTCATCTCGATCAGAAGAACAATAAAAGAGGGGGGGGGGAGGGAGAGCGCGACGGTTTTTGCGACAATCCAATCACTCACCCACACACACGCAAGCAAGCAAGCAGCAAGAAAGACCTGAAGAACGGCGCGTTTTACACGCTCATTGACCAAGCACTCGGTGTCGTTGTCGTTGTCGTCGTTGTCGCTGTGGTCGTGTCACGCCTCAAATGGCTTGTAGAGCACTGTCGTCACAAACTTCTTTCTGTATCGGTTGGTGCAGCCAAGCACAATCACATTGTCCTGCACGCCAGCGAGCACACGCACATGTGATGAGATCCGCGCGAGCACACACAAGCACCTACACACCTGAATGCGCACTCAGGTACATCCGCACACACACACACACAGACACACACACACACACACACAGACACACACACACACACACAGACACAGACAGACAGACAGACACCAACCCATGCACACACACACACACACATCCATCACCGCCCCCCATCCGGTTCAAACAGCGCAGCACACCTTGATGGAGAGGGCATAGAGGTGGCTGAGCATGACGTGGTGGGGCTCAGGCAGCTGCGTCGGGTCCTTGCTCGGGTGCTGCGCATTGAGGGTGACGTCCAAGAGCTGCGGAGGAAGCGTGGGCGGCTTTGCGCCCCACAACTCGGGTACATCCTGCCCATACTCCCCAGCAGGCGATGCGCCTGGAACGCGGGAGCCGAGGAAGGTGTAGTGGCGTGAGGAGGTATCGTGGTGTGAGAAGGTGCAGTGGCGTGAGCTGTGAGGTTCATTGCTCAAGGCACACACACACACACACACACACACACACACACACACACACACACACACACACACACACACACACACACACACACAAAAGCAAAACGAAAGCAATCAAACAAAGCATCATACCCCTCCCCCCACCCTTCGGCCTGCATTGCCACTCACGTCCGTCGCCCGTTTCTTCGACGAGGAGGAGGCTGTCCTCGCCAGAGATGTGCAGGGCACTCGCTACAATGCGGGCAAGGTTGTTGATGGAGCCGAGCGAGTTTGAGCACGTCGGGGCGTCCGGGTCGTGGCGCCACTCGCCGTCAACAAGATACTTGTACTGGTACTCGCCAGGCTTCAGGTGCATGATGGTTGAGAAGGACCCGTCCCTGTCATGTGTGGAAGAAACGCCAGACGAAAATGACCGCGAGTTTGGGGAGGGGGGCACAAGTGTTCATGAGATACAATGATGCAAGTGGGGAAAAGAGAGGGCGATGGAGCACAGCGGAGTTTCAAGGAACCAACATGATGGGGTGAATAACAGGATAAAGAACTACCAATACAGACAGACAAATACACAGACACAGACAGACAGACACAGACAAACACACAGACAGACAGACACACAGATACAGATATAGACAGACAATCAGATACAGATACACACACCCTACCGCTGTTTTTGAAGCGGGACGTGATCTTCCCAGCGATTAAAGGTCCCAGCCACCATCACTTGTGACGCTGCTTCCCGCCACACAAACCGCGTCGGCACCGTGCCCTCTGAGGCGTCACCTGCACACGCACCATGATCCGCACCATGAGAACCAATACACAAACAAGACACAACAAAACAAACAAGGGCCCACACACGCGACAAAATGGACACAAACACACACATCCACACACACACACACACACACAGACAGACACACAGACACACACACACGCAATAGAGTGGACAAAGGCACCCCCCCCTCCACGCACGCGCACCTTCCACGACGACGCGGGATGGCGAGTCGCTGTCAACGGCCATGGCATCAAGCGGCGGGAGCATCTCCTCGAGGGGAACGGGGAGCGTCTTCGGTACTGAAGCACTCCTCGACTCTGCAGTCTCGACCCACGATTCCTCAGATTCAATACCATCCAGCTGGTGTTGCTGCCGTTGCTCATCTGATGACTTTGACAACGGATGCGGGATTGCTTCGCCGTCGGCGCCTTGCCTCGCCTGGGGAAATATTGTCCTGTGGTGGCGCGGCGACGGCACCGGGGTCGGCTGCATCGTGTTTATGTGGTAGGGCGAGGTCTGGGGGCCATCTGCACCGTGCATGGCTGCTGTGTCGCCATCGTGTGTGTCCCGTGAACCACGTTTCTCTAGCACCGGCGGTGCGTCAAGGATGTCCCGATCCGCCTTTGGATCTTTCGCGTTTGTGTTGCCCATGGCTCAGGCTTGGCTCTCTCTCTCTCTCTTCCTGGATTTCAAGCGACCAACAGAGAGGTGGGGGGGGGGGGGAAGGGAACCTTTGTGTCACACGAAAGGCGTCTCTGAAGATAGATGCGTGCGTTGGCGTGGATGGATGGGTGGTGTGTCGTGGTGGATGGTGCTTGGAACAGACGACGAGTAGTGCTGAAAATTGCCGCTCATCTTACACAAATCCTCACAACCCAAGACAACCAGCAAGCAACAAGAAGCAAAGAAAGAAGAGAAAAGACAACCAACACACACACACACACACACACACGCAAGCATGAACGTGCGGCTGTTGTCTGCGCTGGCACTCTCGGTGCTGTTTGCCTTTAAAGGGCAATACACGACGGCCGTTATCGTGTCCGCGCTCACGCTACTGATCCACTACTTCTTTCGAACAACAGAGGACGCACCAGCCGCGGGTAGACAAAGGTCAGCGCCACGTTGCGATGCTGTGATGTATGCCCTTCCTGTCGTTGGTTTGGTTGACAGTTTGGAGTTAGGGGGGGCATGCGTGCGCCTGTGCGTGTGTATGTGCGTGTGTATGTGCGTGTGTATGTGCGTGCGTATGTGCGTGTGGGCTTGTGTCAGTCTATGGGTTGCATGTGTATCTGCGTGGTTGTAGACCATCACCTGTCTGTGTGAGTCACCAGCACAAAGGAATGCCCGTTCTTTCCAGCCAACAAATGAGCATCTCACCCGCCATGTGCACGCGCTTGTGGGGAGCAGGAAAGCGAGGAGAGATGAAGTGCGTGCGTTGCTTGCCGCCGTCCCCAACATTAGCGAGTCTCGGGCAAAGAATGCACTCTGTACGTTGCTGCGAAAATGTGTGTATGTTTCACCATGGCTTGTATGCTGCCTGCTCTTTCGCACCCGCCGTCACCCTTTCTCTCACCTCCCCTCTCCTACGACACACACACACACACACACACATACACCTGACAGCAATGTGCAACAACAACGTGGAAAAGGCGATTGAAATGCTGGAGAAATCACAAGGGTCACTCAGGAATCAGTTCTTGGAGCGCAAGCATGCCATGTTTGACGAGGCACGCAGGTGAGATGTCATAGGCATGGACACAAGAGGAAAGCGAACCGGATGGAGTGGGGGTGGGAGTGGCCTGCTGAATGCTGGTGTTTGCTTGCTGTTTTTTTTTTTTTTTTTTGGTGTTGCCTGTTGGTTGCTCTTGTTGTGAGCTGGTCCTTGCCTCTCTCCCGCCTCGTGGTGCGCTTGTTGATATGGGGACAAAGCAGCAATAGCCACAACCAAACACTCAGTGCCAACGCGCCCACACACTTGTTTGTCAACACCACTTTGCAACACTGGCAACGCTGCAGGAAATATCTGGCCAAGCACTCAAACGAGGCGCGGGCGTAACGCCATGGCGGCGTGTGGGTGACTGTGGCCTCGTTTCTCATGTTCTCATGTACACGTCTGAACGACAACCCGTGTTATCTTCAAGTGCAAGCCCGTTGCTTGTCCACTGTGCGTGCGTGTGTGTGTGTGTGCGTGCGTGCGTGTGTGTGCGTGCGTGCGTGTGTGTGTGTGTGTGTGTGTGTGTGTGTGTGTGTGTGTGTGTGTGTGTGTGTGGGCGTAATTGGTTGCACCTGATGTATTTAGCAATTGAACTGTCACACCGAGCGCATCCACGCATGCTCCACAGAATTGACGCAGCGATACAAACAGGACTGAGCCAGAGATGGTGACATATACAGACACAGACAGACGGACACGAACACAGCAAGGCCTATCTTGCAATTGCATCTGCCAATGACGCGACCCTCCACTTGGTCTCCTTCCCCCACAGCGTAAACGACTTAGCGACGCCGCTCTGTTGTTGGGGAAAAGCAGCAAGAACATAGCACACGTGTGTGCGCGTGTTAATACGTGCATGTGTATTGTGTATTGTGTGTGTGTGCGTGTGTGACAAGCTTGCAGCAGGGAATCAGAGCGGTGACATCACCTGGAATTGGAGGCGTTGCGATTTCTTATCCTGAACAGGAAGGCGGTCAATCTTGGAGCTGATTAGTGCACACACACACACACACACACACACACACACACACACACACACACACACACACACACACACACGCACGCAGAGCACACGGATGAGAAGTGAACCGGAAAAAAAGAAGAGGGCGAGCAGTGCAGGAAGCGAAGTGGTCCGAGAACAAAAAACACACACACACATAGACACACACACACACACACACACACACACACACACACACACACACACACACACACACACACACACACACGGACACACGGGCGTACGCAATGTCGGCGAGGTCGGCGATTGCGGACTGGATGGAGCGCTGTAACCGCTCGGCCTCCTGTTTGAGCGCCGGCGCTGTGTTTCCCGCACTGCCGCCAAATGGGGTTGGTTGGTGGTTGGTGGTGAAATATCGGTGTTAGAGACTACGGCACATGCACACACACAGACGACAGACACACAGACACACGGACAGACACACACACAGACGACAGACACACGGACACACGGACAGACATACACACACACGTACAGGATGCGCTGGATGGTGCCCTCAAACTTCTCGACGTCCGTGTAGATCTTTGCGCGGAGGCGACAGGCCTGCTCGTAGTATGTCTGCAGCTGCGTGGCACCGCGCCCGGCCTTTCTGCTCCAGCGCCACGCGCATGTGC